TTTCTAAAATATCACATAAGTTCTTTGAAATGAGAAAAATCAAATAATATAAATTCAAATAATTTCTAATATATATATATATATATATATATATATATATATATATATATATATATATATATATATATATATATATATATATATATATATATATATAGTAAATGTACGAAAGCATATGCAAAGAGAATCAGTCGGTTAGTTGTTGGTAAGCCCCGAACAAAAGCCAGATCCTCATTTACTACGGCAGTACAAAATTCTTCCGAAGTGATAGGAACCCTAGAGGGAAGAATAGAAGGAAGCCAGAAGAAAGAAGTGAGATCATATTTCTCACTACCCTCCGACAAGCGAGCCCGCTTAAAAAAAACCTTCTTCAATATGAGTTAATGATTTATTGTCCCAAGTTCTTTTGACAAGAGTAGGGCTAGCAATGAATCGAACCAACTCGAAAATAGTTTGGAATTCGATTCGACAATTAAATCGTTGAACTAGGTTCATGAACCAAATGAGTTGAGTATGAGCGAAAAATTAAGTCCGTTAACTAAATGAGTTGAACTTGAACTATGCATAGTTCGACTCGTTAGATTCATGAGTCAACTCGATTACATATGAGAAGAATTATACTGCATTTAAGATTAGGTTTAAATATTTACTCCAAATCTTAGACAAATTTAATCTTCAATTTAGTAGTTTTTGAATTAGACTCTCAAATGTATCTCTTGAAAGTTGTGTAGGTTTTGAATTAGTAGATTTCGAAGATAAAGTTAAATTTTAATATGATAACTTTTATTTTATTTTAATATTTTATTTTTAAAAAATATATTTATTTAAAATGTGAAATATATATATATATATATATATATATATATATATATATATATATATATATATATATATATATATATATATATATATATATATATATATATATAAAATAGTTTTTAAGTTCGTGAATCGTCATTGTCAAAGCAAGAACCTCGACCACCGGGCCAAAAGAAATAGCCTCAATAGGAGCCACTGGCATCATGAGAGACAAATCGGTCGTCAAACCCTAGTCCTTAGCAAATGCTAGATCCTTATTCAATTGTTCAATTTTTTTCTATAAGGCACGAGTAGAATGTTAAAAAAAGGTTCCCTGGACCCTTAGGCTATCCTCACCAAAAAAAATTGTGTCACTCAAAATGATCAAACGCATTAATAATGACACAAGTATCTATCTGCCTCTTCTTTTGTTGAAAAGACAGTAATTCATCAGGACCAAATCCTTTTTCATATTCGAGCCCCTGGTACCAGGCGTATAAATCCTCTTTCATCTTTACTTCTTCGTGGGATAAAGAAGTTAGCATAGAACAGTAAGAAGAAATAGGTTGGTGAAAATGCATCCTAGACCAATACTTACGAAAGCCCCCTATACTAAAACGGACACATCCCACTAGGGCCGAAGATGAGCAGAAAGCCAGATAAGCCTCAGTGATAATAAGTCTCACCAATATGAAACGCTCTAGGAAATTACCCCATTTAGTAGTAAAATAGTTAAACCATGACTCTTGGGGACGAAAGGAGACTAGTCACTAGTCTCGGTACTATCCTGAAAAGTATGAGCCATATAGAAAAGATTGGAGAAGAGCCTTAGGGAAGGCTTCCAAGTTTTATATTGGGTGCAAATTTAGAACACCTTCATAAAATCCCATGCTCTGGGATGACATTGTGAGGGGGCAACCTTCAAATAGCCCATGACGGCCACCTCAAAGTAAGAAGGGAAAGTGTACCCCTAACTCGGTGAAAAGGCATTCATACAGAGGAATCGACTAACCTTCAAAAGAGTTGTATATCCTTTCATTCTAGCCCACTAGAAGAATTGACCAATCCTAGGGATTGTCAACCGTGATGTCAAATTTTACGACAGCCTCGGTAGTATTCAAGATAGAATGAGTCCTAACTACTTCAGTGGTTACCCAATGATATATGTTGGCGTTAGCCTACTTAATTAATTGAAGATCCTACGTGCCAGTACGTCAGCTTTATAATGGTCTTCGGGGCTGACCTAAAACACAACATTAGACTACCCCTAGAAATCCAAATGACGAGTGATCTTAGCATTATTAGGCTCATGACAACCAATTACTCTCTGATATGTTTTAACAAAACTTTTGGCATTTTCTTTCCTTCGACTGACAGCTTCTATTTCTACCTCAATCAAGACATGATTAGGCATTGGTTTCTCGACAAGGTTTCCACCTCTATCGAGTTTCCCCGAAAGAAAAGCCTCTGAAAAATTTATAGAAGAAGTCTCATATGAAAGAAATTCTCTAGACGACCCTTCCGTTTTTGAATCACCACTCAAAGGGACAATTTCCAATTTGAAAATCCCGCTAAAAGAGGAAAGGGAATGCAATTCAGATTCCGTTACTCTTCTCGAAGGTGAAAAAACACTACCCTCTGAATCACTCTCGATTATAATATGGCTATTATCCATCGTAACGAAGGCATAGTAAAATACTGAAATGAAAAAGTTAAAAAGGATAAAGGTACCTCGAAATGTAAGGCTGAATGTAATAAATCAAGGAGATGATTAAAGATTCGAAGCTTTAAAGCTTTGAAAAATTTGAATGTGTAATGACAGTTACTCCTGCAGAGAATGCTCTCATAGAAGAAGGAAAGACTAGAAGAAATAAGGGAAACACAATCTACACAATAGCAAAAAAAAATTATCCACTATCTCCTTCTATCCTTATATAGGCAAACACAATCAAACGAATCGGATTGAAAGTAATAAGCAAGTGCAAATTAACGGTCATATTTCATCTTGGGAACTCACCCAGACTCAAGTACACTCAAGTGTAGAGTAAGTTGTGTCACGCCACTCCGCACCTATTTAGATCAAACGTCAAGAGAAAAACGGTGAAACGCTTCAATGATGGGACTGCATTTAATGCTCACATTCCTAATTACTCTTTGGCAAAACCAAAGTAGTAGATGTCAGCCGACACATGTGCAACTATTCTCAAGGACCGACAAGTATTATGTGGGCAACTGCTCTGTGCTGGGCAAAGGTCTGGGACATAACGCCTTGTGTCGATCAAAGGCACAATAAGACGAGGCCCGATATCTAACATGTTCCGCCAAGCCCAAGGTATAAATACCTTCACAAAGGGTTTTAAGGTACATAATTTTTAATTTCCACTTCCATTACGATCATCAAAACCTTAAACTGACTTGCGCGTTAGAGTGTTAATCATTAAGGTACATACCCCCTGTGAACCACCGTACCAAAGATTAGCAATGCATATTCATGATCGACACCAATCAATGACGTTGATACAAGATCAACTTTCACAATCCAAGAAGCATTGTGATCGTAAGATATCGTCTACAGACTACGATATCACATTGTAAAATCACTTACAAAACTCTTCTCACCGTAACTTCTGCAATCTCCTCCTTTTTTAGTTTCACAACGGAACACCTATGATCCAGCCTCTAGAAGAGTTTCTCAAAAGACCACCAAAGTCGGATGGTCCTAAATTACCAATGAAACTACCATATACATTGACCTTTATTATATTCTTTAGGGGAAGGTGTCAAGACACAAGTCTAGTGACTAAGATCTTATTCGAACCATCTACCAATAGTACCATCCCTATTTCTCTATCCGATAACAACAATATGCATTAATTAAATTTCCATGATTGCATGGGTTGGATCAACCTATACAGCTTGATAATATAATTGCAAGTTAGTTGCTTCAATCTTAATAAAATAAAAACTTTCATACTCTCTTGCATTGCTCCCTATAATGGATCCCCATGTGACCATTTTCACCCAATAAATCGATATATGAAGAAAGTACTCTAGTGAAATGGTATTGTGGTGGATGCTCATTTATTTTCATCATTAATGAACCATTACTGCTATGTAGAGGAATCCTAAACTCAAATATATTAAATATCTTATTTTTAAAAAGGAAAAGACATTAACTATTTAGATGTGTAGTATGAACACTAGTATTAGTAGGAAAGGAACATGCAAAAAGTACAAAAGCCAGCATATAAGGTACTACGGAAATTCAGATCTGTGATTATATTTTATAGGGTCCTTTTGGGAGGTGTAGCACATGGATATTTACTAAATTCTGTGTTCAAACCAATTTCTCAACTTTCCACCATCACGGTCGCCTCATAATGCAATGAAAAAATATTTATTAAATTAAACTTGAGCTTCTGAAAAGTTAATGACATTTGTTACAGTATTATGCAATAGTTTTTTTATTTCAAAATTGAATTAGCTATTCCAAGCATAAAATCAAATTCAAATTCAAGGCATAATACTAAGGATTGAAAATCTCTCAAAAAGTCATAGAAACATGAAATACAATTAATAAGTCAAACGAGTGAGCAAGATTTTCTTATAGCCAAAAGCAAGCTAGCAACATGAAAAACAATTAATAAGTCAAGCAAGTGAACAACATGAGTGATATTTTACCAAATAACATTGACCCAAGTCTTTATTAATGTTGAACCTAGAGTGTGAACTCTGTTTGGGGTTTCTCCTTTCCTTACCTAAGTATTTAAACTCACTATCTAACATATATCAAATTATCAAGTCAATGTCATATAGTTGATGAACAGGAATTTTAATTTAATTTTCCAATTTACATTTTATAATTGCTTCCAAGTTGAATAGCTTGGATTTTTAAGAAACTTAACTTGCATGTCGCATTTTCCTAACGACTTTATGATTCATGCCATATGGCGCCTATACCCGCTTGCATTCAATGCATTACAAAGACAATATCCAAATTAAAACAAGTCGAGATGGGGAAAAAAGTTACTAAAAACACTTGAAAAGCTACATAATATTACATGGTTGAAGAATGTTTTCAAAATTCAGCCCCTTTTTTCCTTACGGTTTATAAATCATTACACACCCGAGCAATCTATATAAACCTAAAAGCGAGGAACTAAACTAACCATACTTATTACTCAACTTGCCATCATGGAATCCTACCAAACTGGTAATGTCTGTACTCGTAAGTGCTTATATTTCTGGTCTTTGTTGAACCTTTTTGCACTCACTTCCAAACCTTTAGATAGAAGGAGCTTCAAGGCATCTACCCCCTCGTGCAAAGCCTCGTCAATCTGTCCAACAAGAATGATAAGAGAAGAAACGCTGAACAACTTTAGATTTTTCTAACTTGGCTAGTTTCGATATAGTGGATTTAGCCTGATGTGAGAAAATGAAATAGCAACAGCCACAAGCTTTACCGCGTGAAAGCTGCTATACTAATGACTATGCCTCTCGTTTACCCAAATGTTTTCCAATTCACCTAATATTCAATTTCTAAAGAGCCACTCAATGCAGACAATCATTTCATATGTTTTTATGACATTGCATTAACATGATAAGTTACAATAGAGGAACCAAAAGTGCATTGTCAACATTAAACCTAGAACTTACTCGTTGCCTAGCTGCTACATTAAACTTTTGAAGCAAAAATGCTTTAGGATCCATCTGTCCAGGAGGCTTCCCAATCCCTATCAGCAAAACAAATTGAAAATACAATAACTAATTATCTAAAAAGCAGGGGAGGGTGGAGGGAGTAAACAGTCTAATAAAAAATACTAACCAATTCTTAGACGAGGAAATTCTCTATTATCTCTGAAGTGGTAAATAACACTCTTCAGCCTGGATCATTAAAAAGCAAGAACAGGGTACAATATGAGTGGTAGGGCATGAGAGAAGCACTTGATTAGGAAAAAAAAAACTCAGATAAGATTTCATGAACTCATTTTCTAGCACAATTCATCCCATAAACAATATTATTGAATCATAAACACCTGCTTCCAACTTCAACTCAAAAAATTAATTTTCTTTTTCTCCTAAAATAGTGCAGTGTGCATATAACAATTTATGGCCCTTTGACAAACAAAAATGTTAGATGGTGAACCATGCCGGCAAACCAAAAATACACGGCAGATGGCAATGTGGCCTATTTGAAGCATCAGGGATATTTATGTGTGTGTACATGTACAAAAATACTACAGAGAATATAATTAAAAAACTAACATACACAGATTAAACTAAATTGTTCATAATAGCATATCATAAACAACTAACATGTCTCATGGCCATCAAATTCAAGACGCCAACTAACAACAACATGATAAAACTCAACACAAACATAACATAAGCCCAAGTCATTTTCTTTGTTATCTAGTGAGGCACACTCTTCTGCCTTTTCCCGTTTAAGGGGGAAGAACCAAGCCACTTAAGTACTCCACCAGCATCCCTATATATATATATCCTAATCAACCCCACTAATTAAGAAGATATATTTATAGAGAAAAGATTTGATACAATAATATCTTAATTGATACTACTAATAAAAACAATAGATACTAAATAATAAAACAATATCTCAACATTCCCCCTCAAGGTGGTGCATATACATCATAAGCATCCATCTTGTCACATGTAAGTAAGCTGATGTCTCCGAAGAGTTTTTGTCAAGAGGTCAGCAAGTTGATCCTTGAAATCAACAAAGGAGGTTATGATGGTCCCGATGATGATCTTTTCTCTAAGAAAGTGACCGTTGACTTCTATATGCTTTGTCCTCTCATGAAAAACTGAATTGGAGGAGAGGTACAAAGCTGACTGGTTATCACATACAAGTTCCATAGGATCGACTTTACAAAATTAAGTTCATGTAGTAAATGTTTTAACCACAAGAGCTCACATGTGACATGGGCCATGGCTCGATACTCAGCTTCTGTACTTGATTGAGCAACGACCATTTGCTTTTTGATTTTCCATGAGATCAAATTTCCACCAATAAAAACACAATAACTTGATGTAGAGCATCTATCACTTGCATCTCTTGCCCAATCAACATCTGAATATCCAATGATATCAGTATTGCCTCTATCACAAAAAACAAGTCTTTTTCCTGGTGATCCTTTGATATACTTAAGGATTTGAATAACTGCATGCCAATGGTTGTCACAAGGAGAGGTGATCCTTTGATATACTTAAGGATTCGAATAACTTCCCAAAGGTTTTCACAAGGAGAGTTCAGAACGGGCTTAATACACTGACGGGAAAAGATATATCAGGTCTAGTCAAGGTAAGATAATTCAACTTTCCTACAAGTCATTGATATCTTCCTGGATCAGTATATGGCTCCCCGTGATTAGGAAGAATCTTTACATTAAGATCCATAGCAGTGTCAACCGGTTTGCAATTTGTTAGGCCCGTTTCTTCAAGAATAGCAAGAGCATACTTACTTTGAGAGATAATACATGACTTTGATTGAGTTACCTCAATTTCTAGAAAGTAACGAAGAGGACCCAAGTCCTTAGTCTGAAAGTTCTAAAATAAGTGTTGTTTTAAAGCCTTGATACCCTCAGAATCATCACCTATAAATTACAATGTCGTCAACATAAGCCACTAGATAAATATATTTATTAGATGAGGAGCATTTGGTGAAAACAGAGTGATCTGATTCACAACAGTTCATCCCAGAGTGTTGCACCACTTTACTAAATCTTCCAAACCATGCCCGAGGTGATTGTTTCAAACCATACAAGACTTGTGCAATTTACATACTCGATCACACTCCCCTTGTGCAACAAACCCAAGAGATTGCTCCATGTAAATTTCCTCTTCTCCATGTAAGAATGCATTCTTGATATCCAATTGAAATAGAGGCCATTGTTTCATGGCAGCCATGGACAGAAAGAGACGAACAGATGTCATCTTTGCAACAGGAGAAAAAGCATCCCTATTTTTAACAGATGCGCAGCGGAAGAGTGGTGGGCTCACAACCCACAGGTCTTGGGATTGGAACCAGACTTTAATACAAACTTAAGTTTGAATTTCTCATCTTATTATGTGGAATATACTAAAAGAGAAAAGATATACTACATATCTCCTAATCAACTTCACTAATTAAGGAGAAGATATACTACAAGAGAAAAGATTTAATACATATACAATAATATCTTTATTGATACTACTGATAAAAACAATATATACTAAATAATAATAACACAATATCTCAACACTACTCAATGGAGATGATCTAAGGAAAAAAAGGAGGATAAAAAGTAATGGAAACAGAGAATACGATGGAGATATCAGAATGAGGTTGATGGAACTCACAGAATATAAGAAGAATGAGATAGTATTATTGATGAAAATGGGGAAGCCAAAGGTTCACAAGGTAACCCAGAGCTAGAAGTTCCTACCAGAGAAGATACTTCTCCTAACAAACTCTTTACAAAATATCAGAAGGAACCCCTTCTTCTCCCACCTCACAAGATCTTCCTCAATCCCTAACCAACTTCCTACATTTATGGCCCACGTCATTAACTCCCACTCCTCCTAGATCCTTCTTTCCCCTTCATGTGTAAACTCTACAAACACGTGGTTTGGACCTTGCCTCAACAGCCCCATAGTCATTGGGCCCATGTGCTCTATCAATGCATCCCGCTGCAAGTCCAGCCTTGTCCTTGCTGAACGAAGGAAACCGGCTCTTTAGCAGATTCTGCCCTTCAACTTCACTAGCCATTGCTTGACCACCTACCCTCCTGCCTGGAATTCTCTCACACCCAGCAACTCTTCTGGTTCCAATACATCACCAATCTCTACATCCAACTGTTCTGTTAATGTAGGCTCAGCTTTGTAATTCCCAATGGTCACTTCAGTTGTGATATACTGATATACGAAAAATTGAGTACTCTAGCATCTTCAGTTTGTATGACACAGCCCCCACCTTCTTTACTGTGGCAAAACGCCCAGAGTATCTTCGAGCCAAAATTTGGTTGATCCTCCTAGCCAGCGTGCTTTGCTCTTAACACTCCCCAACCTCAAAAGCACAGTCTCGCCGTTTCTTTTCTGCACATCTTTTCATTTTAACTGTCTCAATTTCTCAAAGCTTCGACTGTCCACCAGCTCAGCCGGTACTGCTCACCTTAGTCCCTCATTGCAGAAACCGAACTAGAGTAAGGGGTTCCCTTTCCTGCACAGCACCAAAGAGAGTTGTACCTGTGGTCAAATCAAACATGGTATTATACACAGTTCTTCCCAGTGCAGCCAATAAGACCAATAGACAGAGGTTGTTCTGACGCGAAACAGCGTAAATGAGCCTCCAAACATCCATTCACCCCCTATGTTTGACCATCTGTCTCTAGATGACAGGATGAGCTTGTCTTCAAAACGGTTCCCTACAAAAGGAACAGCTCTTTCCAAAATAAATTGACAAACACTGGATCAGTCACTCGCTATAAATTGACAAACAATGGATCACAGTCACTCACTATAAATTGAGGGACTCTCTTAAAGGATATTATCTCTTCGCCGAATACCTCAGCCACTTTTCTTACCGTGTACGGATGCTTAAAGGAAAAGAAGTGACTATACTTTGACAATCAGTCCCCCACCACAAAAATAGCTTTGACTCCTTTGGACTTGAGGAGTCCAGTGATGAAATCCGAAGGATGTGCCGTCCAAAATTCAATCCAGAATTGGGAAGTGCTGCAGCAAGCCCGTTAATGAAGACGCGGCATACTTCTGTCTTTGACATATGTCACAGGCCTTACAAATTGTTGCATTGTGTTCTTCATACCACTATCCAATATAAGTTTCCCGCAATCTTGTGATATGTTTGCACAAATCCAGAATGACTTCCACTTGGAGATGCATGGAACGCCTCCAACAATGACAGAATGCAAGTGTAGTATGATGGCAGCACCAACCGGTCCTGATAAAATAGGATACCCTGCTTCAAATTGAAACCGAGTCTGGCAGCTGGATTTTGCTGCAGCAGTTATTTCCTCCAATATTGGATCCTCAAGTACCTTTTGCTGCACCAGTGGGGCCTGCAACCAAGCTGGGACAGATGTCACTGCAGTAAATTTCATATCTTCATACAGTTTGGAAATCCAATTCTGCTGGTCAGCAGTTGTGATTCTTTGCTGCAACAGGTGGCGGAGGCTCTTCCGATTCAAGGACACTACAAAATTCCTACCCAAAACATAAGCCCGTAAATGGTGAACCGCCAACACAAAAGCCATCAACTCTTTTTCATATGCCGATTGCGGCATTTGGCTTGCCTTCATTGCATCCTCCAACACCTTCATTGTGTTGGGGTTAAAAAGGTGGATTTAGACATTGCTTAAAGATATGGCATGTGTAGTGTTTAAAATTTATAAAGCTTGGGCAGCCCTCACCTTACCAGGCACCAGCCGGTTTTGTAGGGATGAGTTAAGTCCAACCCAAATTTTTAAAAAATGTAATATTTTTTCGTATCCCACAATAAATGTTTGGTAGTAACCTGTTAACCCCAAGACAACCCTCAATCCTTTAGCATTTTGAAGGATTGGCCAATCCACCACACTCTTGACCTTCGCAGGATCCACTATCATGCCTTGTTCAGAGATCATGTGGCCCAAATATCCTACTTGTCTAGCACCAAACGTACATTTCTTTCAATTTATCACAAAGCAATTGTCTCTCAACAGAGTCAAAACTTATGACAAATGATTCATATACTGCTGCCACCCTTTGCCGTACACAAAAGTATTGTCAAAAAAGATTAACAAGTGTTATTGAAAGTAAGGCTTAAAGATTTCCTCCATGGTGGATTGGAAGGTGGTGGTGCACTAGTCAAATCGAAAGGCATCACC